GTCTACCTGACCTGGATTTTTCAGGTCGGGTCGGGTCGGGTCACAGGTTGACCTGACCTGATTCGGAGCTCTATATGCAATTTGTATAAATTACGCGTTGCATTACTTTTGATTGTTTTTAACATGAATTAGATGATCATTATTGTGCTACATAAAAATTTATATAAAAGGTATTTTTATTTATTTATTGTTTAACCCCGTGATATGTCACAACTACTTAATAAACAAGTAGCAGCAAAAAAGCGTCATACAACTCCTAATGAAAGGGCACAAATTCTCCTTTCATTACAAAATAGATACATAACAAGAGAAGTAGCAAAGCCTCAAAAAATTGCACCTTCTACAATTTCTCGTATTAGAAAAAGATGGCTTGATATCCACTCTCTTGAAGACTTAGCAAGAACAGATCGTCCACCTACTGTAAATGAACCAACACAAAGAAGGATTGTTAATCTTATTACTTCTCAGAAGTGTTCATCAGCTGTTGAAGTACGAAACCAACTACAAGAAAAAGAAAATCTTAACTTTTTAACACCTACTATTTGTCACGTACTTTGAAATAATGGGTTAGTATCAAGGGTAAAAGAAAAATGCCATACCTTAGTAAAAGACATAAAAAATCTCGATATAATTTTGCAAAAAGTATGAAAATTGGACTGTTGAGGACTGGTCAAAGGTAATATGGTCTGATAAATTAAAATTCAAAATTTTTGGTTCTGATGGGAAGCAGTATTACTGGAAGTGTCCTGGAGAACCAATAAAAGACCATCATATTCAACCTACAGTAAAATTTGGAGGCAGGTCAGTTATGATATGAGGATGTTTTACATCTCGTGGTGTTGGTGGTTATTGTAAGATTGATTGCATCATGAATGCTAACTTATATCAACAAATTCTTCATGAGGATTTAATGGGCATTATCAGGACACATGATTTTACTGTTAAAGACATTATTTTTCAACATGATGGAGATCCAAAGCACAGAGCAAATTCAACAAAACAG